TATATATATATATATATATATATATATATATATATATATTGTTGTTCGTACACACACACACACACACACACTCATGAACATATTCATTTTAGATTAATTTTTTGCATTCAGTTTTAAAATTTTAAGGATTGCTTTATTTTCAATTTAATCTTTTATACTTAATGTAAAATATTTGCAATCTCTCAAATTCAATTCTATAAAATAAAGTGCATATTAATGAAGGTCTCATTGTCCCATTCAACATATTTATCTCTTTGCCTTGTAGGTAATTCTCCTCCCTGTTTTCTTTTTTTGTTTGAGATTGGTGCTTTATCGTTCTATTGTTTGTGTGTATGTATATGTGTGTGTGTTTACATGCATGTGTCTGTGTGTGTGAAATTGGGACAGCCTACTCCTTTCCTGGATGAAAGCATACTTGATTTCACTTACTATGTCTATTAGATCTTTCCATTGTAGATAGTCCTCATTCCTTTTTATAGCTACAAAATACATCATTATATGTATTCCACAGTTTATTTAATTAAATTATTTTTTATTGTAACAAAATTTTTATTTTGGGATAATTGTAGACTCACATACAATTATAAGAAATAATAGATATCTTATGTATACTTTTCAATTTTCCCCTCTGGTATCATATTATATAACTAGATTACAATACCACAACCAGGATATTGATATAGATAGTCAAAATACAAAACATTTCTATATGACAAAGTTACCTCATGCCGTCTTTTTATAGCCACACCCATGTTCCCTAACTTCCATCTCCTCATCATTAACCACTGGAATCCTCTGTGTCCTTGTCTGTCATTTTGAAATTTCATAAATAGTATATATGTGGAATCATACAATATACAACCATTTAGGATTGTTTTTTTTAAACTCAGCATAAATCTCTAGATATTAATCAGATTTGTTGCATGTTTCAATAATTTGTTTTATGTTGTTTTAGAATAGTACTTGATAGTATAGATGCATCACAGTTTGTTTAAACATTCACTGAAGGATATTTGAATTGTTTCCACTTTGGGGCTATTAGGAACAAAGCTACTATGAACACTTCCATACAGCTTTCTGTGTGACCTTTAAAAAAATCATTTCTGTGGAAATGACCAAGAATGTAATTTGGTTTATAGTAGTTCAGGTTTTAGTTTTTTAACTTCCAGGCTGCATACCTGTCTTCCTAGAGGCTGAGAAGGCTTAGGCAGGAAGATTGCAAGTTCAAAGCCAGCCTCAGCAATGTAGCCAGACCCTGTTTCAAAATAAACATAAAAAAGGGCTGGGGATGTTGCTCAGTGATTAAGCACTTTATGTATGTCAGATAGTGTCTTTTGTTGTATACATGGTTTGCAAATTAAATTCTTTTTTTAAATGATGGTGGGGATTGTACCCAGGAATATTCTTCCTCTGAGCTGTATCCCCAGCCTCTTTAATTTATTTTGAGAGATGATCTTGCTAAGTTTCTGAAGTTCATCTTGAGCTTGTGATCCTCCTGCCGTAGCCTCCTGGTTGCTGAGGATATAAATCTTAATCTGAGATACAAATGTATGTATTTTCTTAGTTAATTGTTTGATTTTTATTTTGCTTATTAAATACTTGACCTCCAAAAATTTCTCTAAATTTTATGTAACTAGGTTTATCTATCTTTCCCTTATAGATTCTGGACTTTGGGGTTATAGTTAGGATGTGTTTCTTCATTTTCATATTAAGGAGAAGTTTGCTTATATGTTGCTTTCAGTACTGTTGGTTTTCATATTTTATTTGATTTTACTATACTGGGAATTAAACCTAGGGGTATTCTAAAATGAGTTATATCGCCAGGCCTTTTGATTTTTGTATTCTGAGACAGGGTCTCCCTGCTTTGCTCAGGCTAGCCTTGAATTTGCAGCCCTCCTACCTGAGCTTCCCAAGTTGCTGGGTTTACATATGTGAGCCACCATACATTGCCATTTTTTTATATTTAAACAACTGATGCATCTGAAACTTTTTCTTCTTTAGAGTGTGAAGAATGGATTAAAATTTATTGGTTTTCCCATGGCCATCCAGGTATTCAACACAACATTAAAAAGTTCAGCTTTATTCAATTGATTTGAGGTACTCACTTTGTTCATTTGTTCGGCTTATATAATGTTAACATGTTTATCAGTTAAGTAGCACTATTTCCTATTTTATTTACAAGACAATTGAGCACCCCACCCCATTGTCTGAGGTCATATAGCTGGTCATTGATAGAAGTGAGAGTTAACTTGAATCAAATGTATGAAATATGATATGTCAAGAGCTATGTAATGTTTTGAACAACTAATAATAATAATAAAAAAGACTAAATCTCTCAGACCCTGGATCAGGGCATTTCATCACTACACTGTATTTCTTATTGCTTTCATTCTAGCACACTCTGTATAGGATATAGGCAGCTAATTATGATTCAAATTCTGCATACAAGGTATCAGAGGTTCCAAGAAACTCCTTATCTCCTCAAGAAATCTAGACTATAAGCAAAATGCTGAAAACCCATGTTATACTTTCTGATATGCATCAAATTTGGGTTATGGTAGATGGGATCATTGTGAAGGGGGTTGTGAGGCATTTAGTAAGGCCAGAGTGGGCAAATAAAAACACAGCATGGCAGGAATGTTTAGAGGCTGGCTGATGCTCATTTTTTCCATCTCATGGGAAGATAAAATGTATCTATCCTATTAGTTCAGATAATGCTAGCTGCCATAACAACAGATTAAGAGTTTATTATTGATTCTAACTGTAATCATTGTTAAGAGTGATAGACTTCATCTAAGTCATTCAGGGATCCAGACTTATGAAGGCTTTCATTTTTCTAACAGCTTTATTTAAATATAGATTACATACCATACAATTCACCCATTTATTTGATATATTGTGTTATTAATTTTTAATTTTGATAAAATAATTTAACATAAAATGTGCTATTTAACCTTTTTAAATGTACAATTCAGTGACATTAATCACATGCATAGTGCTGTGCAACCATTATCACTATCTATTTTCCAACACCTTTTTATCACTCCAAACAAATTCAGTATCCATGAAGCAATAACTTGAGAATGAGCTATGACTGTTATCAGGCTGCAGCCTTGTTCCTATTGAAGATAGGCTGTCAGAGATGGAATAGTCTTTAAAGACTGGCTACTTCAATCTTTTCAGATGTTGGAGCCTCTGATGCCCAGAATGTACTATGAGCTAGAGTAAATAATAATTTTTATCACAATTCAACATATACTTACATATATTTTATCTGTAAAAGTTTTATAAATCAACGATGGTTAGTAATTTCAGCTATTTGTCAGATATTTCTGGTTCCCCACCTTCTGGCACACTGTAGAATTGCACTTTCTCATAACCTTGTAATTACTAATTATAAATTGATATGTGTGGCCTAAGACAAATGAGCAAAAGGAGATGGGTCATTTTTGTGGGGGAAAATTTTAAAAGCCAGTTCACAGTTCACAATGATCTCTTTCATTTGTTGTTCCAATCATGGCAGCACAAAGATGAAGCCTCTGTTACCCTGGGTACCCTATGGAGTAGAGCAGAGCCCTTGGGAAATTCCTGGTGGCAGATAGTATGAATAGGAAATAAACTTTTATTCTTTTTAAAAATGTTTTTATTAGTGTATTATAGTTATACATAATATTGGGTTTCATTTTGATGTAATCATACATACATTGAAATATTGTTTGTTCCACTTAGGTTCTTCTAAGACATTGAAATTAGTATATACCAAAGTATATACTAGCCTATGCTGACTAATAGAAAATACACAGTTTTACAACAAGCTATGTACTATAATATTTCATATTATTATTCTATTTGTTCTATTTCAATTTTTTAATGTTTTTTAGTTGTTGATGGACCTTTATTTAATTTATTTATTTATATGTGGTGCTGAGAATTGAACCCAGTGCTTCTCACATGAGTGGTAAGCACTCTACCACTGAGCAACAACCCGAGCCCTCTACTTCAATTTTTAATGATAGATGCAACCTAGTAAAAATTTTTATGATCCAATAATGGGATTGCAACTAGCAGTTTGAAAAATGCTACTTTATACCATGTTCACTTGTTTCAGAGCTGATCCTTTCTCCAAGATCCTATATAGCAATGTTGATGACTCCCATCTGTCTGTAGGATTGTGGTTATGGAGAGGGTGGAGATGCATACTGTACAGCTTGCCCTCCTCGAAGGTACAAAAGCAGTTGGGGCCATCACAGATGTCAGACTTGCATTACCTGCGCCATCATCAATCGTGTCCAGAAGGCAAACTGTACAGCTACCTCTAATGCAGTCTGTGGGGACTGTCTGCCCAGGTAAACCCACTATATTGGGCCAAGCTCTTCTGAGCCTTTTTTTTTTTTTTTAGCTCTTCTGTTTCTCTCATCCTTTCTCTGAGAATCTAGTTGAAGCATTGTATCATACTATATTCCACTTAAGTTCCCCCAAAAGAGAAAGAGTGTCTTCCTAGGATCCCTATATAAAGTGCCCAGCACATTGTTAATCTTGGATGAATTAACAGTGTTTTTCATCATGTTGGCACTCTTAGCACAGACCAAGGTTTAAAGTAAATTTCACTGTAGACTTAAGTCACAAAGCAATTGATATCAAAGCAGTGCTCCTCGTTCTTGTGACATTAGCTGTCCTTTTGACTAAATGGTCTGATTAATGGTGGAAGAGGTAGGGTTTCTGGGCCTCAGTGAACAACAAATATGGAGGCAAAGAGCCCATGAAGAGGTATTGGTACTGGCTCCCAAGAAGAACTACTCTAAGTGCATTGCTTATTTCAACACTCTGCCATACTTTATGATCTGACTACAGGTTCTACCGAAAGACACGCATTGGAGGGCTACAGGACCAAGAGTGCATCCCATGCACAAAGCAGACCCCCACCTCTGAGGTTCAGTGTGTGTATCCACTTCTCTTTCCTTTTCATTAAATCATTATGTGACAGCAAGTTATGGTACTAAAGACTTCTCTTTTATTCCTGGAGGGAATGAATACCCCTTCATGCTCCTTCCTGTGGAGTGTCATAGCAAGGCAATCAGTTAGGTTTGTATGCTGGTTTTGCAACATTATATATATGTAAACTTCCACAAATCATTCAAACTCAGTAAAGGTCATTTATATCATCTGAAAAAAATGTGACTCATTATAAATTGTTTTTCTACATACCTTTTGGGATGGTTTTCTTGGTTTAATGAAATAATAGATGTTAAAAAACACTTTATAAATTATAATATTTAATTGTAAATTATTATTATTATTATTATTATTATTATTATTATTATTCAAGGTGTATAGGAGTCTCTAGATCTTAGGAATCATCAAAAGCTAAATAAAGAAAGTCTAGACTATGTCTGTACCTCTATCAATTTTTATCTGTTTGTGTGTCTAGATATGGCATGGAAAGACCATAGGATATGTACATCTTCAGTTAATTGTATTAATTTATACCATGCCTGCAGTATATGTGAGTTGTTCTGTTTTGATCTTTAAAATTTGCCTGCTCTACAAAGAAGTAAAACCAGCATCCTTAATTGGGAAAGGCCTTAGGGAGAGGGTGATGCCCTGAGGAATTCCAGGACCAGTGTCAGGATGACTATTAACTACCCACAGTGACTGACTTGCCCCATATTTTTGTCTCACAGGTGCCTTCCAGTTGAGCTTAGTGAAGGCAGATGCACCCACAGTGCCCCCTCAGGAAGCCACACTTGTTGCACTGGTGAGCAGTCTGCTAGTGGTGTTTACCCTGGCCTTCCTGGGGCTCTTCTTCCTCTACTGCAAGCAGTTCTTCAACAGACATTGCCAGCGTGGTAAGGGTGGCTGCTTCACATTTGACATGAATCAGAAATAAGATTCTTATTGATAGAAAAGAGGAATTTTCTGGAGTTGAGAGTTAATGGGCTTTCCTTTCCATGCTGAAAAACCCAGGGATGGCCTTGGAAACTATATTAGATGGCATGGAACTTTAAAGGTGACTGAAGAGAACCCTAAGAGTTTAGGGGACCTGGCTTATTAAGTTCCTGGCATTCATAACAGAGCATGACATAATGGTAACTGAACCCCTTGGAAAAAGAATATGGAAAACAAGTTTCTAAATCTACCTCTGAATCACTGTTGTAACATTAAATAAGTCATCTAGATTTTTGGGGTCTCTTTCTCCCTAATCTTGAAAATGTGAGGTATGATTGGATTAATTGATTTTTAAGTTCTCCAATTCTGCTTATCTATACTAATAAATGTGGGAAAGGTCTAGGGTAACTGCAATCAGTGTGATAATTTCCCAAAATGAGGTAGCAGAAAATGCAGTGTGTAATTTTCAGATTTAAACTTATTTTTCCCAGACCATGCTGGTACCTAATGAGATCTACCACAGCCTACAGGAGATGGCCATGTGAAATTCCAAATAGAAGGTCATATTTAAAGTCCCAATAACACTGTGATCTGTTTTCAGCACAAATTCACCCTTTAGCCAATAATGTGGGACTTAATTATGTGGGCAAATATGGAGGAGGTGAGATGGTGACTGGTCAGGATCTAGCAAGATATTAGAAATCCAGCCAAGAGCTGAACATTGGACATATGGTTGTAATCTCAGCAATTTGGGAGGCTGAATGGTCACAGGTTTGCGGCTAGCATCAGCAACTTAGCAGGGCCCTAAACAATTTAATCTCAAAATTTAAAAAAAAAATTAAAAGGGCTATAGAAGTAGCTTAGTGGTAGAGTTCCCTTGGCTTCAATCCCCAGTTCCAAGAAAGAAAAAAAATAAAGAAAAAGAAATCCAAACCACAGTTTAGTACAGCTTCAGTGCTAAGCAGGGACACCAAAAGTGGAACTCAGAACTAGTGAATGGTATTGAGTTAGTAAGGGGGAAGATAAAGTTTTCTGGATACTAGATGCTCAGGACTCCTTAGCCCCTTGATACTGGACTCAAAGCAATACTACTTTTTTTTTCCTCACTCTATGTATATTGGAAAATCTCCCTTTTATAGGGTGTCTGTGGTCAATTTGGCTGTGGGGCCTGCCAATTATCTTGAAAAAGACCAATAGTTATACTTGGCTGTGCCCCTGGCTTAAGTAGAGACAATTCTAGCATTTAACAGGCTGCAGTGTTTCTCTGTTGTCTCTTCATAACTATTGTGAAGCTCTACTTCAAATTCCTGTTCTCTCTGGTAGCTCCTAGGCATTGTGGCTCAGGGTGAACAATCCTCTCTCTGACTTCAGAATCCAGTGTCTCAAATAAGAGTGGTTTCCCAATCCCTGAGCATGAACATGAAACAAAGGCAATAAGGCATTTGGTCCCCAGGTCTCAGCAATATGGAATATGAAGGAACATTTCAGAACTGCCTGTCTCCCTTCTCCTCCTTCAGGAGAGAAATAATGAGTAACTCTCTTCTGTTCCTCTTCTATCTCCAAGATAATAAGGTGGTACTCTTCAGAGAATATGAAAGCAGGTTGCTTCCATATTCATGGTTTCCATAAAGGGAAGGAAGGCTAGGCATTTCCTCATTCAATGAAGAATTATCAGCAGTCACACACTTATGTAGGTGAGGTCAATGTGTGAATTAGATCCAATATAAGGTGCAAGACAAATGGGCAGGAGCTTTAGGAATTGTGCCCTCTCTAAAGGGAAATCCACTACTCAGCTCCAGCTCTTTCTTACCATGTGGGACTATTCAATATGGTAAAAACCTTCCAAATTTTCAAAAGAATACAGAAATCCGGAGTTTGGTATATGAAAATCATGTTAAATAAGCTCCTAATGTTAAATCAGACTCATACATGAAAGGTGTACTACTTTTCTGTCATTGCCATAACAAATTACCACACATTTATTGGATTATTATCTCATAGTTTACATAGGTCAACAGTCTTGACTGGGCCTCACAATAAATAAAGATGCTGGAAAGGCTGTGTTCCTTTCTGGAGGTTCTAGGGGAGAATCAGTTTCCTTAATTATTTAGGCAGATGACTGAGTTTGGTTCCCAGCAATTATAGAACTGAGGTTCCATTTTCTTGCTGGCTATAAGGTGAAGAGCATTCCTAACTTCTAGAGGCATAATCATTTTGACACATGGACTCATTCTATTATTAAAACTAGCAGTGGTGGGGTGAGTCCATATCTCTCTAATACTCTCTTTGTCACTTCTGCCTCCTTCTCCTGCTTTTAAGGACATGTAATTAACCTTGGACCCATCTGGGTAATCCAACATAATCTCCCTATTTTCAAGTCCATCATCCTAATTCTATCTTCAGAGTCCCTATTGTCATATAATATAATGTACACAGACATAACACCCAGGTATAAATATAATGGTGGGGCAAGGTTTGTCGAAAATTATTTTCCACAAAGTATTTCTTATTCTCTGAACAATTGATTCGTTTCTCTAATCCAGAACCAGGTAGCCTCTATTTGATACCACAATGTAAGTATATGTCTCAAGTGTGTCACCTCAGTCTGATGCAAGGTGCTCTGGTCCCCAGGGAGGGGAAGGTGGACACTGGCTCCCAAATCCCCTCCTGCTCTTGTGCTGAGGACCAGATGCCTTGCTGAGAAGAGACCCTGCTTTTTGGTGACTCAGCTTTCTGCTTCGAGTTGCAGGAGGTTCGTTGCAGTTTGAGGCTGATGAAGCAGTGGAGGAGGAATCTCTCTTCCCCGTGCCACCTGGCCAGGAGACCAGTCCTGAGTCCCCAGTGAGTGAGAGCATTTTTGAGACCCAGCCACTTAACCCCATCCTGGATGACGACTGCAGCTCGACTCGTGGCTTCCCCACACAGGAGTCCTTTACCGTGGCCTCCTGCGCCTCAGAGAGCCACTCTCACTGGGTCCACACCCCCATCGAATGCACAGAGCTGGACCTGCAAAAGTTTTCCAGCTCTGCCTCCTGTACTGGAACCGAAAACTTGGGTGGGAATACAACTGACAGCGCTGGAGACAGGCGGGAACTCAATGTGCCCTATGAAGTTCCTAGCCCTTAACTCTACTGAGGTGAGCTGGAAAGGTGGAGCAGAAAGACCAGAAATTAGGGGCCACCCTTAATGAATTTGCCATGTACTACTATCATTCAATAGGGCTAGGGGTAGAGAAGCAGCAAGCTAGGGACATTGGTGGGTTTATATGCAATAAGAGTGATACTGTTTTCAGCCAGTCAGATGTCACACTTTTGAGCTTACAATTGTCAGGAAACTGGCCAGGTTGTCATGACACCAGTCTCCATCTTGGCATTTTTTCAAGCTCTCTCAGGATCCCACTATCTAATAGTCATAGTTATCATCCCTCATGTGAACAAGCAGCATGGTACGATAGAAAAAAATATATATAGAAGCCTTTTCATCTGGCAGCCTTATATTTCAAACATCCATTCCCTACTAGCTATATGAACTTTGTGAAAATTCTTTTCTGTCTGTGAGTCTCAGATTTTTTATCTATAAACAGTGGAAAGTACTATCTACCTTGTAAGTTATTGTGAGGGTTGGATTAAAATCATATGTGCAAGTACCTTTTACAGTGTCTGATGCATTAGAGATATTTCAGCCATGTTAGTTTTTCTTTCTCTCACTGCCCCCAGTCACAATTTATATATATCCCTTCCATATCCACTACATTTATCTGATTATCATAACACCAATCCTTTGTAGTAAGCAGATCAGGCTATCTTAGCCTCATTTTACAGAGGCAGAAACAGAGACAAAGAGAGGAGAAGTAATCTTCTCAAATTCATAAGTGCAAACCAGTGTCAGAACTAACTAAGCTAGAGCCCAGGTTAAGGGGTCCATTCTAGAGCTCACCCTACTCCACTATTGCAACTAATGTCAAGCCAATGTTGCTTTTTCATAGGCTTAAGTATGAGGCAGGAGGATGGGCAGATTTCTAATTTTCAACTAATCAACTACTTTTCACCACTAATTTCCATGTTTCTTCAGTTAATATATTGTCAGGTCTGCTATGACTTCCTGTTCCCTACATCCAACCTAAAAATGTGAATAGTGAATATTTAAAACCTTGACTGGTATAAAACCAGTCAGCTTTGATACCTTTATGATCATCCAGTTCAGTTTTCCCTCTAAGGTATTCAATCCATTATTTTTTTTATAATACAGGTTGAGTATCTTTTTTCCAAAATACTTGGGACTGGAAGTGTTTCAGAATTTGTTTTTTTTAATTTGTAATATTTTCACATATATAATAAATTATCTGGGAATGGGACTGAAATCTAAACCAAAAATCATTTGTTTCATATATGCCTTATATGCATAGCCTGAAGGTAATTTATACAATATTTTTAGTGTGCCTGCATTTTGACTATGACCTGTCACTTGAGATCAGGTGTGGAATTATCCAATTCTGGTGTCATGTAGGTGCACAAAAAGTTTTGAATTTTGATGCATTTAAGATTTTGGATTTTTGGATTTGAGATGTTCAATCTATTCTTCCACCAAAAGTATATGTAGTCGCCTTACTTGCCGTGTCAGAGAGTTTACTACCACCAAATGTGTGGTTCAACTATGACTGATAAATTTGAAACAAATATAAAGAAAAAAAACCTTTCTCTTTCCTTGTTGTACTGGTCCTAGCTCTGTTTCATGGGCCACACAGACCTCATCTGCTTCTTCTGCATTGTTATCCCTGCAGAAGCCCAAATGTAGCATTTCTGCCCTGGAAGGTACCACTTTAGGTTCCTCTTAAGTATGTGTGGATTAGAACTAAACTCAGTTTCATGAAGGATGGTCTCACCAGTTTAGAACAGGATAGAATTAGATTAGTGATGCATTTATGTGATTGTATCCTAATTCACTGGTATAACCCATGATTTGGGTGAGGGGGATTGGGAGAGAAGTGAGCTAGTGAGATTGTCTCACAGGTTTCTAACTTGCTTTGCTATTTCCCTAGGTATCTCATGCTCCTGAAAGCCTTGTCCAGTCATTCTTTGATTCTCCTGCCTTGTTCCTATACCACAACAGCTGCAGGGGCCTGGGATGTGGTATCTACAAATGGGGTATTTCCTACCCCATACTAACAGCGGATTGATCCTGTACCATCTTCCCAGAACTGATATGACTGTGTTTGAGCCTGGAGAGCCTGAATCCCCAGCCATGGAACTACTGGACATGTTCCTAGCTCAACTTGATTGTAGAGAAAAGGGCAGGGAATGACAGACAATATGTGTGGTAGGGTTTTCCTGCCTGCATTTTTGGTCACATGGGCCTGAAGGAAGGACCTTTGAGAACTTTATTGTCATTTTCCTAGCACTTTAGGAGGAAAACGAAACCCTTTTCCTTCTAGATCCTCTGCACTGCCTCTCTCCCCAGCACACACACACACACACACACACATCTGGGAGGCCTGGTGCCATGATTCCCCAACTCATCCTAAATTTCTGTACCTGTGACAACTCTGGAACCAGCACATTTGTCTAGGTCTTCCTCCTCACAAATAGGTCTCTAAACTTCTTCAGTGGAGATTCAAATCAGTGTGTTTTTGATTTTTAAAATGGACTTTCTTAAAATTCCTTTCAGTTTAATTTATCTTCTCTTGCTTCTTTTGTTCCTTTATGGGGCATGTTCTCTAGCTTCTCAGGGCCAAGTCAGAGCTCAGAGCTTTGGTCTTTGAGGTGACAGTGAAGTTCCTGAGGTCTGCGATAGGGCACTGCACTGAGGAGCTAAGTTTCTTAATGGGGCCTGGCCCTAGGGCAGCTCAAAGACCATTTGGTGCTTTCTTGGTTTAGAGAAAAGCCAGTCAATTTCTCCTGTGTGTTCACCACCAGTTTCACATGCTTCTCAGCATGAAATGGAACTGCTTTCTCCATGCTTTCTAGTGGAACAGTGTAGATAAGACCCTCAGGACTCAGGGGTGAATACCATGGGTTTTAGGTCTCCTCTAATGTCCCTATTGGGCCACTTGGACTGCTGTCCATTCCTTCATAGTGGGTCAAGTTTGAAAAAGAAAAGTGCTCAAGTGAGTGAAGAACCTGGCTCTTTGCTTGGGAGCAGCATTTAGAGTTCAGGTTGTTGGAGGTTAACTTAATTAGCAAAAGTCAAGACTGAAGATAGAGCACAGTTATTCTGAGTTAAGAATGTTGAAATCCACTACATTAATGGGTGCTGCACTTAATATTTTGCAATGTGCTTTCACAGTCATCATCTCATTAGATATTTACACAGACTCTGAGGTGGGCAAGGCAGGGATTATTATCCCCAATTTGCTAATGAGGGAACTAAAACTCAAGAGATGGAAAGTGACTGGTCTTAAGTTACTCAGTGACATAGGTGTGAATGTATAGACTAGAATGCTTTCATACCCTATCCAATATCTTGAAATCTTTATTTTCTAAAGGACAGTGTTTTTTGATAGGAAGATTTTTTCCATATCTCTTCCAGCAAACAACACTTTGGAAGGAAAAGTTCCTGATATCTGTATGAGAATGAAGTACGGTTATTGCCCACCATGCCAAGACTGACCTCCCCACTTAACGGCCAGTTTCCCCTATCTGCTACCACCAGCCTAGTACATTTTCTGCTTGGTCTGTTCCTAGCAAGAAGCCAAGACTTTAAATTTTGCACCACCTTTCAAAAGCTCAGAAATTGAGAAGGGTTATAAGGCTAGACAGGACTCTTCCTGTTTGTCTTACCTTCTTTTTGCCCCTGAGGTATGGAAGGGAATAAAGGCTGGAGTCAGATTATTTTTAATCCTTCCACAAATAGATTGTGTATATTTAACCAAACCTATCAATAATAACACTTCTGTTCTTTAGAGTTTAAAAAGGATCATTCATATGTTATGAATATTTTAAAGATGACAAAACTGAGGCCCAGTAGTGCTTTACCCAGAATAATTCATTTTTGAGAAAGAGCTTGCCCTGCAAATCAACCCCCAGGCCCAAGTGTGGACCCCATGACTGAGAGTGGAGGTCAGGGAAAGGCAAATAGAGCAGAAACTACTCTTGGATATAGCAGGGGGGCAGGCAGGGTTATTGAATGGCCTCTTATGTTATTTCTGTTTGTCAACACTGCCTAAATGGCATAAGACTGGGGCAAGCTTCAGGAGATTGATTAAGGCAACCAAACTCCACCACCAAGTAAGGCATTTGGCCCCATAGTCTGTTAAGTGCTACTAAGGCAGTAGTAGAATATTCTATTGAAAAATAGCACATGATTCACTTGTATCTTAATCCATCTGGGACAGGATAGAGGAACTTTTAGCTTTTCTCTCCCTGTAACTTTCACCCCTTGATGGTCTACAAGATTTTTTCTGCCTTCTTCTAGGTCCCCTTAGATTCCTGGCATTCTCTGGGTTTTCTGAATGTTTGAAGAGCAATGGTACTGAGTTTGTAGCATAGGGCAGCACACACAATTTACCTCTTGATCTCCTGGGCCTCAGCCTCTATTTGAGGTGCTATATCTCTCTACACCCAGCAGGGAGCAGGGCTGGAGTTTGCCCACTTACAACTTTACATTTGTAACATTTTTGAGCCAAGGTGGCTTTCCTTCTGGTGCCTGGGTTCCTCAAACTACCTCCCAGCCATTCCCCAAAGACACTCCCAATTCATATAGGCTGAGTGAGGAGGGGAAAGTGACCCAACTCCCTCTTTGTATTGACATGTCAATTAGATCCCAGCTGTCCCAGCACTCTTTTCCATTTGATACTTTTTTGAAATGTCTTTTTTTCTTTAGTTCCCACCTATACATCTCATGATCAGAGAAGCATGCTCCTTTGAAGGTTGTATTATTCTTCATTATCTGAGAATCTTTCTGAAGCTTGTACAGCTAGTTCCTATTCCACAAGTACTTAGTGGTTAATTCAGTACCTTTAGGCAGAATGTGCACTTCATCACCAGGTCCTAGCCCTGACAAAGAGTGTTCACTACAGCAATACTACTTCTATGATTTTATTAAATGCATCTTTGAGAACAGTCCATCTACAAACACTGATTAAGGGCCCCTTGGCAGCCCATTGATCAGGGTGCTAAAAGCACCTAGGT